GCAGATTCGGCCCCAAAACATAGCACAACACAGATGGTTTCCAATACTCAATCTCCTTTTGCACTTCCTCCTTCGTGATCTGCCCAACTTCACTATCATTCACTTTATTCGGCGCAATGAGTTGAAGCTTTTTAGCTTGGTTATTCAGTAATTGGGCATTTATCCCATCCCAAGCACTTGGTTGTTCGATAGCTTTGTTGCTATGTATTTTTTATGGAATTGCCGCTGTTATTTTTTATGGTCTTATTACATAATTTTTTCCCAATAATGTTTTTATGGACGATCATATTGATCTTTTGTTATATATATTTGATGGTCCTACTAACATTTTTTTCGATAGCCTAATTATATCATTCTGATCATCATATCTTGCATGACCTTGTGACCTTACTATATACACATTATGGTCATATTTTTTATGGTCTATAATTTCGAAATTCTAATAGTTCTATTATGTTCAATAGCAATCCTGATTGATATTTTTGTGTATCTAACCTGAATTTTACCGACAAAATTTGAATCCACTAATAACTATATCTTCCATTCTAAGAAAAATTCCAATGGAGTTATGTGTTTTCTTTAAAAAATAATATAAATAAAGAAAGACAATATACATATACTATATATATGGGAGCGACTACGGTCCAGTCGACTGAATGATCCAGTCTACTCTTATAGCTGTCGGATGATTAAAATAATAACCATCATTGGATTAAAATGAGGTGTTCTAAAAGTTATATACACCTCGTTACATTTGATAAGTTCATTATTATAAAAACTGTTTGATGATAATTAAAAGAAGTTAATTTTACCACGCCTCAAGAACACATCCCATAAAGATCTAGAATTGCAGAAAGCAAAAAAAAAAAAAAACGAAGCTAGATGGGAACTTGTGGAGGGGAGCTTTAGTATTTAGCAACAATTTGCAGAAATTGGGGCACAAAGAGAAGAAAAAGATCCGGGTTGAGTAAGTCACATGTGACGGTTATAATGAATTAAATTAAGGGTAGGGAGGAGAAAAAAATTGGGGAAACTCAGTCTGAGGCTGCGGACTTTGTCATGGACAGGAGATATTGCGACATAGATCCTAGGTTTTAAGCGTATGTGGGGAGGATTTCGTTTCATGGTTGTATTTTGTCTCTAACCTAAAAATTTGTAGTTTCTCCTCTATTATGTATGACCAGCTCCATGTAAAACAATAGAATGCCTTCATATTCACATTTTCAATTCCATAACAAAACACGTTTTTAACCATTTCCTTTCTTGATTTTCCCATATCTTGTTTTTTGTAAGTTCCTTGTGATATTTAGATATTTTGCTTGCTATGAATCAACTTCGATAGATCAATTACTTGTTCTTCATCGACCTGTGACTGTTTTATAAGCTACAAGAATTTACCTGAAGGAAAAGGAGAATATATCTTTTGATTCATTCCGTGAAGAATATTCAATCAAAAGAACAAATGGATTCAGATCTCGTTACGGTCTTTTCTGTTTCCATTTATCTAAAGGAGAACGTCACCATCAAACTGAAGCTACAAATTAAAAGAACAGACAATGATAATGCACATTTCATTTTGTTTTGAACTGCATAAATTAAACGCTTCGACATAAGAATGTGTTCCAAAAGTAGATTTGGAATCACAGATGTTGCTCCTGCTACTCATGTTGTGACTATTAATTTCTCTTCATTTTTATTTTTTTGCTTCAATAGAACATAAAATCCTGATACTCTTCCTAATAATAAAAATTTGAAGTTTCGGAGATCTTTGATTTGTAAAATGTAAAATTGTGAAACTCACTGTTATAAAAATAATTAGACCAATCGTCTTTTAATTAAACACTTATTTGTTTCAGTTTTAATTTAATTTTACTAATTACTTAAAAAATGAATTAGTAAATTACCTGATTAAGGAGGTTAACATGGGTTTGTTATGGTGTTATATACCCCATTATCAAATATCATGTGTCGAATCCTTATTGGATGGACTTAAACTAAATGGTTCAGTCAAAAACTTATGACTAGACCATAAAATTTTTATATATATATTGACACACATGAATTGAAATTTGCCATTATCACTCCATCCAACGTTCCCATTTCCGCATTTCGTGAAGAAAGCATTCTTCTTTATCAACACATTTCGATTCAACGTATCGAAAAATTAATGACCACAATAATTCTATATCATTTTGACCTAAAGGGCCAGACGTCCAGACCGACTTCGAGGAGAACTTCATTTTTATTATTTAATTTAATTAAATCATTAATACCATTCCAAATCTCGAGCCAATTCCATATTTTCAGCTAAAGTATCTATACATCTTATGTAATTTTCCGGCTTCAAAAAAAGACGTCCATAATGGCCCATGAACATCTTGAAAAGTTGAAATACTGCTGGATTTGGTGTTAAACCATAGTCAGAGTATGATAGAGTCAGTGTTTCTTGCTATCGTGGTGCTTTAATATTTAAAATTTTGCCTCTTTCTTTTTTTTTTTTTTTGTAAAGAAAAGAAGAAAATCTTCGGAAAGGAAAAATGAAGAAATAATCAATAATTAAACAAATAAAATAGAAAAAATGATGATGCTCGAAAATGAGTTTAACGAGTTATAAAACGAGGCAAAATTTGAAATCCTCGAGTTGTGCATGTCGTTCTTTTTGCGTCAACATTCCTAATTGCGAGAATTCCCCGCCCTATTTTAAACCGGAAAAATGCAATATTTTTCCAATCCACCAAATATTTGAGATCTTTGTGTTGAGTATGCCCCATCTTTCATATATATAGCTTGGTGACTTGGGCATTGTAGATTTCTCCTTCAGCATAGAAAAAATCCCAGAAACCCTGGAAAACAAATTTTTGTATTCCTTAGTTACAAAATGGATTCAATCTATCATCGCTTGTAATTGACATATGTTAAATGGATGTTTGTGTTCTGAATTAATTATCAAATGAACGATGTGGTATGAGTGAATAGAAACATACAGTTGTATCTGAATTAAACACCACTTAATTAATCTTTCCTGGTTTTATACGTTTAAACTTAAAAATTAGTTGATAATTAACACGGAATGAAATAAACAGCATTGATTGGGTTTTTCCTTGATGGATAAAATTTTGGGAAGGTACAAACTATTACGATAGGTTATCGATTTGTTAGTAGTAGTACATTATTCACCCCCTTTTTTTTTTGAGACATTATTCTCCCTAAGAGCTAAGACTAGCAGAAGTTGACACCAAACATGACACTGACAACCTTAAAAATGCATAAACCGCCACAGGTACCGTGCCCGCCAAGAAAGATGAAATTTACTCGGCAATCTCGACAATTGTTTTATTCATTATTCTTTTCTACTTATCACTTAATAATTTATATCATTTACTATGGATTTAAGGTTACTTACTATGCCTTCCGCGACTTTCACTTATTTTTTCAATAAAAAAATTTCAGTAACTGTAAATTTTATCAAAATTTCATTCGCGAAATTTTTGGTCAACATAGCTGGTTAGTCAGTTCGGATAGTAAATGCTGTTACATCCAATCTTCAAAGTGTTTTTACTGGTTTCACAGTTGTCTCATTCTCTCAAATAAAGAATTGGGTTTGTTGTATAAAATAGCACTGTAAAAAAGAAATCACTTTCTTCTCCTCTTAATGATATCACCCTTTTGTATCACCCCCATAGTTCTCCACATATTTTCAACGAGGGTTTAGGCATGACAACTTTAAATAATCTCATCCTTTCAATCACTATAGTGCGCTAATTACTCATGTTGAAACTGAAAAAATTAGAGTTCCAGCCACAGGTTCATCAAGTTGCTCGTCCAGCAAATTAAGAAGGCCGATGATAAAGTGAATGGTAGCTCACTAATAATTTTCAGGTTTTTGGATTCCCGGATTTTTGATAGTTTCTTTTACATTTCCTGCCACGTTGGACCTTCTTCCTTGTACTTTATTTATTGGGTTTCTAAATAATTATAGGTTATCCAATTATTTACTTTTAATTGTTCTTTTATTTAAGGAAATAAGTTAGACATAAAAAACAAATAAGACTTTAACGAGATTGTAATACCGAAAACTTTCTGAAATGAAATTGTATATTAATTTAGTAATCTTATATGGTTTGTGCGTGGAGATATACAAAAGTTCCTACCAATAATAATAATAATAACAATAGGGCTCCAACAAATAGCATAATAATGTTAAATTAATAAAAGGACATGCATCGATCATAAAAAAATCCTTAAAAAAATGTAGTACGTTAGCTTGTCACCTAAATTTTATATTGAAAGACAAATTAAAAATAATAGAAAAAAAAGACTCATGTCTCACTAGTAAAAGTTCAGCTTTTCCCGAATGTAGGAAATTATTGAGTTAAGTGTGTTCTGTATATCAGATATATTGCTTCAAATCTAGGGCAGTAAATGTCCAGAAACCCAATGTAACAAAATTTCGACCCACTTAGTTACAAAATATATTCGAACTATTTTCGCTCATAAGAATATAGTTTGGAAGCATATAGGCAGAGACAACCATACTATCTGGTAAGACTGCATATCAAATTTATCAAATCAAAGTGTGCTATGCATGAATACACGCTGACAATTGCTAGTGAATTTACCCCCCAGCAAAACAAATGTGCTTCACTTCATTATTTTAAAAGTGAATATCAATCATATGGATTTAAGGATTCCTAACGTCCACCCAATTCTTACAATTTAATTTTTTTTAAAAATAATTTGTTATACAACCGCCACTATTGACACACGTAAATTAAATAGCGCTGAAAGTCAAAGTAATACTCGGTTGTGATAGTAAATGAAGTAAAATATCTCTTCTTCAATTTTTATTGTCTCTTTAATACAATGGCTTGACTTTCCTGTACTTTTATCCATATATACATCGACCATTCACCAATTCATATCTTTCAGGTCTCCCCTCCCCCTTTCCCTCAAATTCCAAACTAATTCTCAAGTCTAAGAAGCCAAGCCAAGTGAATACGATGACATCCAATTCCAACTTTGGCAGCTCAAGTGGCATAAGGCGCCAGCCAAATATTAATACAAGAAAAGGCTGCATGACAGGAAAGGGCGGGCCGGAGAATGCGGCATGCAGATACAAAGGCGTGAGGCAGCGGAAATGGGGAAAGTGGGTGGCGGAAATCCGCGAACCCAAAGGTGGTCCCCGCCTTTGGTTAGGGACTTTCCGCACTTCCCATGAGGCTGCACTCGCCTACGATGAGGCAGCCCGTAGGCTTCATGGTTCTAAAGCGAAACTCAATTTCCCCTCTACCCATCATTATCGACAAAAGATCGCCTCACCATCATCTGCAACTCAACATTCACATCCAAATACTATTTCCCCTGTGGCCCGTCTGGCTGTTTCATATGAGGAGCAGCAAGAAATTTTCGGCATTCTTAATGAACTGCCAGTGGTTGATCACTCCCAACTTTGGTCCGAGGCACAAAGGATATATTTACAACATCTCAACGACCCAGGCCTCCTTGGACCTTAATGGGAGAAAATGTATAGGAAAGATAAAGTGTTCCGTTGTTTTCCGTAGGGAGGAATTTCTCCTACTATGAAACTGTTTTGTTTTGTGCTTTAAAATTTTAAGAATTTCCTGGTTCGTTTTTTATTTATTTGTGTGTTTTTTTTTTTATGTTTGCAGATTCTTTATCAACATAGGACGGTATTTTCAAGAGTTTGTGCTTCTTCTTGAACGCACGATGATGAGTCCACCGGTAACTATTTATTTCAACGGAAAATAAGTAGTACGGATGAAAGTGAAATTGGATTACACAATCTCAATACATTATCGTCAGCATTTTGACTAGATATTTAGGATTGTGGATTTGAGCATTCCATTATATTAACTAGTACCGATTCCAAATTATATATGTTACATGAATCCGAAATTATGATGACGTTTTGGAATTTTTAAACCCTGAAACCTAGTTTTTTCCTCAAATAATGAACCCAACCCTAAATTAATTGGTCTCACCTAAAAACTAAGACATTAAGTTTTAACTATCGTCACTGTAATGTTTTGGGTATGTGGAGATTGCTAAAATCTCTAACCCAGCATAACATACTATATATTGAAATTCTGGACGAAATACAAGAAGGTATTTCACGCAAGCGACGTGTGTGTTGAAGTAGTTGAAAACCAATATAAGTTATTTGTAAGTTATTTCATGCAAGCCTCCTTTTTTTTAATTCGTTTGCACCTTTAACAGGACTCGGCATACAAAAGTTCTTCCATTAAAGGCTATATCGGTCCATTTTTAATATATTTTTCAAGAGAATCGCATTTGGCAATCATCCATGTTTTGTTAAATGAGACTTTGTCGGGCCGTTTTTAATAAGTTTTTCAAGCTAATCGTATTTGACAATCAGCGACATTAAGTCACGTTTGTCGTTGTTTCCTTCGGTTGGTACGTTATTTTATCATAAATTTGAAAGAAAATGAAGTATATTTTCAAGATGAAAGGAAGCTACCACGTCACATGCTTATCATGTCCAAATCACACGTCTCATTAATTGTGTGTATCACGAGTATTTTAGTTTTGATTATGGCATACCAATATTTTACGGAACTTAGCTCTCGCTGAAGCTAATATCCTCACTTGGATGATACTTATTGGGGTGCAATCTGCCCGGCGTTATAAATCTTTGTTAGGCCAATCTTCAATGAAATCTGCACAGCCCTGCTTTTGCATTTGTTCTCATGAAAGATTTCCTTTAATAATTGGCCAAAGATCGTTAAGAAGAACGGTACTGCTAACGAAAATTACTCAAGGATCTTTGTGCCTCATGAATTTCCACGGAACAGTAAACCTGATGCTCCCATAAGGGTGTAACCATATTTTTCCAATACATTGGGAAGATGATTTCTACTCAAACTGCTGTGATTGCTGAGTCAGGGGATTATTGGTTCAATTGCCAGAAGCAAAAATTGCCACCAAGGCTGTGGGTAAGCAAGTATCGTTCACAAGAGCCGCCCACCAAATAATCCTCACTAAAAAGGCATTTCAATAAAATAGAATTCAAGAGATTTTGAGTATACATATCAAGAGCAACGTTTTGGGTTTTATTTTTTATTTTTTTTTTAATTTCATTTCTACATTTTGTACTATTACCTTGATTCCGAGTCAAGTTTAATTTTAGTCACGAAATACAATCAATCGTTTTTGGACTGCCAAAATATAGTTTGTCACTAATCCATCAGTATAACTAAGTACTATTCGTGTATAGATCTAATAAATTGCTTTTACTTATCAAATGTGCCATGTCGGATTAAATGGTTAGTTAATCCTTTATGTTCACGTTGAAGGTGTCAGGTTCGGAACTCTCTGGCAACAATTTCTTTTAGTATAACTAAGTAATATTTGCATATATATTCAATAAAATACTTTGATTTATTAGATGTGTCTGCCAGCTTAAATGGTTAGTTACTTCCTTATGTTCACCTTGAAGGTGTCAGGTTTGAAACTCTCTGGCACTGTTTTTGGCAACATTTTTTTTTCAATTTCTGACACGTGGGTTGGTCTAGTCTGTCTCAGATTTGTTTATGCGGATTTGTCCAATGTATGATGACGGGTATTTTTTTATCTCTGCATTCCTCGTACGCGGTTTTCTTATAAACCCACAAATCTGCATTGCGGGAAGGCTATTTCCGTCCCCACAACTTTGATGGGGCTTTATATGTCAAGAAGTAGGGTTTTCAGACCTATATAAGTAAAAAAAATTCCATAAAATGGTTAATTGGTCCACTACAATACAACTACTAGGGGGATCCGATCCCTGCTGACGGGTTTATCCATCTTATTGTGGAGACTTCTAGGGTAGAAACAGTTGTTCCTCTCAATGACTTGGGGAATGTTAGATTTGCAGACAAAAAAATACTTGTGCGATTTTTATTGTTTTAAAGCATCAACAAGATGCCAAGGAACATGTCCAGAACAAAGGAGATGATCTTCTTGCTTTGGTGAAGATAATTGGTAGATACTCCCTCTGTCCAAAAAATATTGTCCAGTTTGAACTTTCATTTTTTAGTATGACGAAGTATCCTGCAATGTCGTCATCCAAAGTCAACAATGAACCTTAGAGCAATTCCATGGTCCCCAAGAATTAGCTGCAAGAGCGCACACATGCAAATGCTGCAGCACACCTGATCTGTCCCTCCATTGCTTCTAGAAGCTGCCGAAGCTTGCTCTCTACGTCAGGGAATTACAAGGATGATCCAGGAAGACCCGCACTGTTCCACACACGCTAAAATCACCAAGATATGACCGGTGATTCCTAGAATTAGCCTTGAACATATTAGAGATAGTTAGGGTTCTCTTGTATAGTCATGATACTCTAGCAAAACTTAGTGATACATTTTATCTATAAATAGCCGAATTGTACATGACATGGAGGTGTGGAAAAAAATCAGTTTCTCTCATTCTCTCTCGTTTTCAGAAGTTCTTTCAATACCTAAATCATCAATTAGGGTTCTTCATATTTTATTAGCTTCTTCATCATCATGTTTCGCATCTGAGAGTTTCTAGATAGCACAATTTTAAATGAAAATTAAAATCTAAACAGTAGAATAATTTTGGGATGAAGGGAATATACTGCAAGAATAAAACAAATACCATTAATGTTTTGTACACCAGTTCGCAAATTTCAACAAAAACTTTCTCCAATTAGATGTATGTTTTGCTTTATTAATGTTTTGTACTATGTTAATATAATCGATTTTGTCAAAATAAAAAAAAGTTCAATTTCCTTGGACCTGTTTTGTACATACATATATATATATATGTATATATATAACTGAAAAAATAGGTTACACTACCTGTGCCATTACAAAAATCGAATTTATACTATAGCACAACTGTTTATATTTTCGATATTGTAATTAATACTGCCCTTTAATTCCATGAATAACTACTACTAAAAATAGTATAAAACTCAAAACTGTACTAAAACATTATAAAACAGAAAAACTCAATATGGACTATTTGTTTTTGTACGGAGGGAATATCATAATTTATGGCATGTTCTGAGTTAGTGTTTGTCTTCTCTAAGTTCTTCTCTTTAACTCTCTAATACTTTCAAGTCATGGTGCGATGAAATGCAGATCGAGCGCCGCTTCTCAAGTGTAGCTCATCCCCAAGTTAATGGGCAAGCCGAATCCATCAACAGAACAATACTGCATGGGATCAAGACCAGTTAGCGCCACTTGACACATTAATTTGTCCATAAGGTCCACGATCTCTGTGTCCTGAGCATGCACCCTCATGAACAGCTCTTCTCGAGAACTCCGAGTTCGAGGATCCATGTTTTCCTCCAGATGCTCGAAAACCTCGAAGTTAATGTTGTTATCCAGCAGTAGATTTTGCAGTTCGGCAATATACTCTATAAGAAGCTCGATCTCACGATATCTTTCTTTTAGTATATCCATGGCTGCGATAAGAGGCGAGTCCTGACCATAATCATGTGCTGGACTCGGGCTAACACTTGGTGCTTCTCGAGAAATCAGGGAGACACAGTAATCTGCTATCTTGCCCTAAGCCGAGCGTTCTCTTTCTCCAAGGTAACCAGCTCATTGTGAATCTCGGCCTCAAAAGTCAAAGAATCACTGTGGTCTTTCAGGCTTTGAACATCTCGACGCTGCATCTCCTCGCGGAGTCCTTTAATCTTGTTTATCAGATGCTGGTTAACCTTTACATTGTGTGTCCTCATTGCATCGAGCAGGTCATTCTCTAAGTGTGCCACCGTCTCGAGGCTGTGCACATCAGCACGACTTCTCAGAATCCCGCTAATCATGGAATATAACGGGAACTCCCTCGATTGCTCCTCGGACATCACCATGAGGTGAACACGGTGGACGATCCAACTTTCCTGTTTCACCAGAGGAGTATAAGTAACTTACTTCCAACCAAAGAGAAAGAAAACAGAGGACAAAGAAATAGAGGGGAGAAAGATGCTTGCATAAATTCTTAAAAAGACGAAACAAGGAAATTAGTCCATTACAAAGAAAAGGAATAGTTTAAATGGCCTAGCAGCTATTACAAGGGGCAGGATTCATACAGCATCACTGCCTTGAGGAGGGTCCTTGGAAGGGTCCTTAGAAGGATCCTGGGAGGTGTCCTCGACAGTTCTCTGGAAACCAGAATGGCCGGTGTCAGCAACATCCTCCTCAGTGGCTTCATCGGCGTCCTCGAGCTCGATGCCCATGTATTCGTCGGGTACCTCGGGTATAGGGTCTTCCTCACTTGGACCCCTAGCCAGGATAGCAGGAACGTCACCTGGGAACGAGGCAATCTCCGCAGGGGAACTAATCTTCGCCATGGAACCGGTTAAAGCTCCCCACAAAGGAAGCTGCTTGAGGCTCAACTTTGTCAAGACTTTTACGATGGCTTCATGCATGGTTTCGTTCGGGTCCTTTATCAGAAGTTGCTTGAACCATTTCGCCTTAATCGGCCTTTCCTGGTCGAGCCTCTTCAACCCTGCCATGCCAAC